CCATTAAATCCCTTAGAGGTAACAGCAGAAGTCATGGTATCACAGGGAAACCAAAAGCATTTTCCTGCTACTATGAGTACAGAAACTGCATTAAAACTATGATGGATTTTTTTTATGAATAACGAAACCAACTCGCCTTTACAAGAAGCTGCTCTTAATTGTTCACTAGAGACCATACAGACCAAAAAATCTAAATAATTTAGATTATTCTGCCAATGGAGATACTGGGCAGACCACACATGGGCATAGCTCTTCCCCAAACAACTGAAAACTAGAGCTTAGGAGGACAACAATGCAGTACTGCCTGCAATTAAAGCCTCAAAGCAAGTAGCTACAGAAAGGACAGTAGCTCTCCTGTTTTTCCAAAGGAACAGATGGACCATCATTAAGGCTAAGACCAGCAGCTGAACATTTGAGTATGCTGCTCATAGCACCTGAACTGCAATGCTAAGGTAAAGCTGCCACCAAACTGGTGTTTGTCTGCAGAAAGAAGCATCAGAAGACAGAACTGAGCAGATCAGCCAAGACGTGTCTTGCCAAGCACAGAACACTTAGTCAGGGCACCAACCAGTGGAACAGATTACAGAACATAAGCCAGCAAAAGACACCAGCCCCAGGAAGGAGAGTTAAACCAGAAAGTAAGCAACTGTTCAATTACCTCTACATGTGGTCTATTGCTACATTATTCTTCTTTATGGCACTCTCTCATGTGTGGTTTGACAACTAGACTGACGTGCTGGATCACAGCTACACACGGTGTATGACAGACTGGAGCATTAGCCCATTTCTAGAGTATTTCATGCAGTTTTGTACCACATTAGCATCTCTGCACCTCAGGCTTCCCACTTGCATACCTCCCATCAGCTCTCTGAGCTAGCCACTAGCCCTCTTGCTTTTATGAGCTACTGAGGGGATAAAAGCCTCCTTTGAGTGCAGGCCTGGTGCTTAATTGCATTGGAAATGCAGACAGAAAGCTCCTGCCTTTCCTGATTTGGGTGGTTATGTCCCACTTCATCTCCAAATAAAACTGTGAATCAGCTGCCTCGTTGGATGAAAGTTATACACAATTTCATCATGACTTATTATTTGGCCTACAGTACGTATATTTAATGCTCACTGTGAAATTTTTGCTCTAACAGAGATAACCTAAGAGATTAGTCACCAGTATTTAATGGTCTGTTTCAAACAAAGCATGTAGCTCATTCCCAAGAGTTTAGCTGTAGGTAAAACCTCAGGACACAGCCTAGGCAACAAGTTACAAGGCAGACAGCACATTGAGATCTGTGGTTTTACCCTGAGCAGTTTTGTATACAGGTTTGTCAGGAATTGTTGCAACTGACTGTTGCATGGAATTATTAAAGAAGTCTTAATTTGTTGTTTGGTTTTTTTCTCAGCCATGTAATGTTTTCTATGACAAACTGTTTAAAGCAAAATGAATTCTTAAATTTCTTTACAGGGTCTGATGACACTTAAGAAATTCAGGAAAATAGCAACACTAAGGATCAGGTAAGGAGAAACTTGCAGAGAACAAACAACTTTTCCTTAAGGTTTTTTTTAATATCCTGTACACAAACTTTAAGTTGGTGTTAAACAAAAGCAGACAGCACTGAAGTAATCCCACCAATTTAACAACACCCTTTCAGGCATCCCTGCTCCTCCCTCTGCTATGTCTCCACGTGAGAGGCTGCTGAAGGAGTACTGAGGTCTTACCGGAGTCACATTCCAGTTTGGTTCGATTCAAATCGATGCCATCGTCCACAAACTGGCAAATGGAAAACAGCCTGCAGCCTCGCTGGCACGCGTACAGCTCCTCCTCCTGGGAAGGCACAAGAAAAGGCTCGGATCCCTCCCATTCCAGAATAACGGGAGAACAGAAAAAAAAAGAAACCAAGCTACAGCTCTCGAGTCCTGTAGTGTAACTATTGATTTATTTCAACTTCATTCTCTGGTGGGGCAGACCTGGCACAGCAAATTGTGTCTTGTAATTCCAGTTCTACAACTCACAAGCAAAGTTGCACCACATTTATTTTTTTAATAAGAGATATGGCTGCAAAATGCTCACTAACATTCAATCCTCCAAGGAGGAGTTTCCCCATCATGGAACTTAAACAGGAGAGGACAAAAAAAGACTAGTACTGCAAGCTCATTATAATGCATCTACCACAACTACAACAGAATTGTCAAAAGAAGAGATTATCTGTTGATGTACTGAAGCAGTAAACCAGGATACTGCTAACCTGACAAACCAGTTCCACCAACACACATTTTTATGATATTGAACAGGCTGGGAAAAGTGCTTCCTAACTGCAACGATTAAAATGATGCACACACAGAAAACCTCCACCTGCCATTCCTTCTGCCCACAGTGCCAAAGGGACGGACGAGCACTTCCCACACACAGTGCTCTCCCCGTTGCAGAACCACAAGCAGCCCCTGTTAGGTGAGCTCTCCTCCTGACCATCACACCCTCTCATGAAGCTGACCCATCAAAACCACCAGCCACACTCAAATGGCTGCAGCCCATTGCTGTGCAGGTGGAAAGCAGACTCTGAATTAATGTAACAAAAACAAACATACCACACCTTCTGTATAACCTCTTATTAACTACCTGGCCATTGTCTGACTCCAAGAGAACACATGTTTTAGAGGCATAAAAGTAGGAGACTGTGGATGCTAATTAAAACTTAACTCTAACAACACTGACAAGGTGACTAAGGCAGTTAATGTTGTTGCAGAAAACATGTTTTTGTCATTTGATATCCAGACAGAACTAGCTCTGGCAGACAAATGTCTGCGACAGTCTTCCACTACTTTTCTTGCCAATTAAAACTATTTCCTGCAATTCAACTGGTAGTTTTGTGACAAACAAAACCAAAACTAAACGTAAAGAGGGAGAAACGTGAATTATTCAGCAACTCCAACACTCCACAACAAAGAATTCAAAAGTACAGTTACGAAAATGACAGGATTACCAGCTTTTCTTGGAAGTTGAAAGAGTCCTGTGCCAAACCAGTGCAGAAATATATCATGTCTCCTGTCCTCACATAAAATCTCAAAGATGGGTTAAGAGCTCTCAACCTGCTACACAGCTGCAGCTGATAACTAAGTATATTGCCAAGAAAGAACTCAAAAAGGTGAGATTTTTGGTAAAAGAGTTTGCAGATTCAAACCAACAGTTAGAGACTTATAACACTTTGAGTCAAAGGCAAACTTGCAGCATGAAATTGAACTCCCATTAGACCCATTCAATTAAATCAAAACACAGGTTGAAGGTTCTGCCAATTTATTAATTTATCATCATTTACACTTCATCTTTCAATATCCAAGTGTCACACAGGCACCCTGACTCTGTGGCCTGTTGTGGACACAGCACTGGTTTAATGCCCAAAAATATGGCACAGCCCAAGTCAAATTACAGACGCTTCTTTAGAAACAGGAAAGAAAAAAGCAAGCAGCCAACCCCTTCAAACCGCCAAGCGCCAAGAGAGCTGTACTGTGAAAGCAGCACCTCTCTGGCCAGCTGTAGCCTAACCACGTATTTCCAAAATGAAGCATTTATCTTTAGAGAAGCCACTGCGCTCCCCGCTTGGAGGGGAAGCAAATCTAAGCCAGATCGGACACGCCACGAAAGAACACCGGCAGGCTGCTGACTGCACCCGAGCTTCCTTCACCTTTATGTTTACTTCAAAGACACGTCCCACTCAGGGCCTGCAGGGGAGCGGGGCAGCCGCGACGGAGGGGCCAGGGCCTTGCTGCCCGCCAGCCCCACTCCCGAGGGGGCAGAAGGGGAGCGGGGCTGAGCCCCGGGAGGGTCCCGCCCGCCGAGCGCCGCGAGGCCGAGGCCGGGCCCGCCCTACCTTGGGGTAGGTGTGCAGGGAGTAGGTCAGCTGGCAGGCGCGGTGACACGACGCCGTGTTGCCCAGC